ACTTCTGTATTAACAGTAACCGAATACTCAAGTTTGACAAAGTGTTGCCAATTTTTTTAACAATTACCTTGGTAATTTCAAGTTTTCAAACAAATGAGTCGCAGGGAATTTTTTTCCAGGATTTTGGGGTAAACATGACCCATACCATGCATGGGAGTTGGGAATTTCAGGCGGTGCTTTTGTTAAAAAATTGGAAAAAATGCATGACTGAACTTTTGCAGTGATTAAAATGAATGCAATACTGTTACTGTCTTAGCTAGGATGGAATCTTCAAACATTTAAAGAAACTATTACAGTGACTTGAAGACAGCCCTTATTTTCAAAGAATTTTAGAATCATCTTTTATTCATTATTTTTATTTTGTAACTTTCAATTGGGAATTTTTCCTGTTGAATTGGGAAATAATATACTATTTTCAATTGGGAAATATGACCACAATAACGCTATAAAATAAGCCCAAAAAAAATTCCTAAAGTCTAACTAGACATTTAAAATATACGTATCAGTGTGCTTCCCTAATGTCATTGATCTTGAAATTCTAAAAAACTTGGCGGAAAACTTGCTTACAAAAAATTCTTTTAGCAAAAAGGGACATAAATGGCACATTTATTGCTGAGCTCTAAGCAGCAAAAGTGGTTTCAGGAGATCTTTTTAAGTTTTCACTCAATACATAAGGAAAACTTGCAACAATGCCAGTTTTGATCCAAGGGCTACAATTAGAACAAACAGAAGTAGATGTTCACTAGAACATGTTTTAGAAGATTTTGAAAAGTTATTGTTTCCCTGACCATGGCAACTAGAATTCTGTATGGAATGGAATTCATTGAACAACTCAAGAGTATCTTTTTTCAAGCTTTAGCATGTTAATCCAGCAGTTTAAGGAGTAAATGTTGTATAAAACAAAAGTTTATTTATACACACAACAGACAAAAGCCAATCACAATAGCTCACCTTAATGTAACACATTGTGCTTGGGAGAACTTACAAGAAATTGGCAAAAGATTTTTGATAAATTGATGTTTGATTTGTAAACAAAATTGTTAACATAATTTACAATATACACACAATCTGTGATCAATGGCTTCAACTCTTCAGACATTGCAAACACATTGAAGTAAATTCAAAATGTCAGAGAACCCTGAATTTAGCTTTACTCTAATCGATTTTATATAGTAAGACTGTAAGAAAGCTGTAAAAACCAGACTTTCACGGGAATGTTTGAAAAAGTGTACCCAGAACCAATGGTTCTTTTGAAACATGATAGCCATCTGCTCACCTATTGCAAAATTTCTATACCACAACATTTTATGACCTGCTTGGAGAGGAAAACCAATGGGGTAGTCACTGTAGTGTTATCTTTCATAACTTAACTTTATTCTTTTTATAGGATGAAGTGCAGGACCCACCATTTCTAGTAAAAAACCCATACATATGTTTCTTAGAAAAAAAAATCTGTTATTTTTTCTTAAAATGAAGCGATACACAAACAGAAGATCTTGTGTCTTTTCATTTTTACAAAAAACTTCAAAAAACACCTTATTCCCAACAGACAGTGAAGTGGGGGCATGTAAACCCTCAATTCACAGACCTCTAAGGAAAGACCATTAAACATGTTTAAATCATCAACTTACAAAGCTGAATTCTCCACCACCAGCTCCAGCGTCAGCCTTTTTGTCACCACCAGCTGTAAAAACATTGTAAATGAGCCGCATCACAACAAAACCAAAATAGTGTGTTTGCGACCAGCATGGATCCAGACCAACCTGCGCATCCCGCAGTCTGATCAGGATCCATGCTGTTCGCTATGAGTTTCTCTACTTGTAACAGAGTTGGTAAGTGAACAGTATGGATCCTGATCAGACTGCGTGGATGCGCAGGCTGGTCTGGATCCATGCTGGTCACAAATGCACAATGTTGGATTTGTCATGACGCAGCTCAAATAATCAATAGAAATTTATTCGGAACACAACTACAAATGTGTCTATAACAGACTTCCCGAAAGTTGAAAAAAACTGTCAGACATTTGGTCTGACAAACCATGAAAATCTGCCGGACCGAAACAAAATCTGTCGGACCAAATAAAATTGATCAAAATCAAAGAAAAACTTGTGTTTGTATTTCTAAGACACTTTTTGTTTTTTATTTTTCCGCCGTAAAAATCGGCACAATCTGTACAGCGCATTTTCATCTCCTCCCTGTCATACACCAATGATTCGTGGTTCTGCTTCCATTTTTCATTAAATTTTGTCTCAGGTCTATTCTTTTCATCCTTTTATTGCTGTTCTGCGCACTCTTCTGACGTAGATTTTCGTTTTTTCCTAGGTTTGGCACCTTTAGCGACGCCATTTTGTATACATGCGGCTTGGATAAAAGCCGGACAGTCGGACCGATCCGGAATAAAAAATTGTCGGACCTGATCAAAATTTATCGGACATGTCCGTCGGACCGACGTATTTCGGGAAGTCTGCTATAATAAAAATGTAATGTACTATTTCATTATATACAGTAACAGATAGGTCAACATTAAAATATTATTATGACATTATGTAGTGTCATTTGGTCATTCATTTCAGGTAGCCAGGTTCTTAAGAATCGTATTAGGGAAAAATTAGAAATAAATTCTACAGAACATCAGAGTACAAAAGGACACCTCCAATCAGAAGGAAGTCATTACAGTACCTTGGCAAGAAAGTTTGTGCCAAAGGCCGATTGTTCTAGGAAAGTACAGCTTTGAAAATCAAATTTCTAAACAAGTTGCAAACATTATGTATAATATAGTGTTCTTACGTGGTCCTGCTGCACGCCTATATTCCTGTCTGTCTTGAGCCTGGGACCTTTGGCCCTCACCACCTACAATGTATAAGAAATTAAGAATCATTATTTTTAATGTCACTCCCTACAAAGGGAAACAATTCAACAACCATAAACAATAGCATGCTGATTCTTCAGTTTTATCAAAAGTACAGTCAACAGAATGACCACTTTAGTAGAACATTTGGAAAGGTCTATTAGCAATATGAAGAGCTTACAACTGAAATTTATATCAGATTGACGACTTTGATATAAACTGGATTTTTTAAAGTGAAATTTACACACAATACAAATGGCAAACAAACAAATCATACAAACAGAAGTTTGATAAATATGAACTTCCAGAATCTATTGATATAAGTCAAGAAAAAAACAAGCCTATGGAAAGAACGCTCCACTTTTTCTCAATGCCCGATATGATAAAGAAGTAGGAAAGAGGACAAAATTTTGTAACAGTGCATGGCAAGATCACTGTACGACAGACGCACACACAGGTGAATGGTTATATGCCACTCTATCTCGGATGGTTTGACGGCATACAAATTTTTAAGCAACACTCTGTTGCCATATCAAAATCAATATTCAAGTTCAACAACATACCATAGGATTCTTTAGGTCTTGGCCTGGCTGTCTCTGGCCTGGTTTGACGTTTCAATGTTGCTGGGACAATTTCTGCGGGCAGATGCAGAAAGTCACGTAGATATTGTATACCCTCATTGGTGAGGTACCAGTAAAAATGTCTCCATGCAAACTGTTCTGTTACATAACCCCGTGATTTCAAAGACTGAAAGAACAAAAGCAAAAATCATATATAATCAATATAATTTAGGTTTTGATAAAGTAATATGTCCCAATATCACAGATGCCCTCCATTTTATCAGCCTTTCGCAGTGGTATAATTACATATGCATGTATTTCATATAGGTAAGTATTATGAGAGACGATCCAGAAATACATGGACTTTGTTCAAATCTGTAAATTACCATGGCACGTCATCCATCTGAACCTTCAACTGTACATAGGTGTGGCTGGTAGAAGTTGTAACTCCTCAAGTCTTGAGTTTCCAGGAAAATGTGCCGTCAACAGGCCCAGTGACCTTTTGACCTAAAAAAAGGGTGTGCAGGCAGTGTCAAGGTGCATCTACATATAAGGATCGTAGGTCAAGGCTCTTTGCTTAAATAAACAGTGGTCTAAAAGACTTTTTTGTTACTACAGGTCCGAGTGACCTGGACATCATGAATGAAAATGAGTAAGGCAGGTAGAACTCGTCAACATGCATTTGCATACAGTTTCAGTGAAATAGCTTTAAAAGTATTTAAAGACCATAAAAAACATTTGCTAGTTAAAGTATATTGTACTCACAAAAATATTTAGTACAAAAACTGAATGTTTCTAGCTTTGTGATAATTTATATATCAGCACCACTATGCAACAGAGCAGTGATGGCCCATTAAGAATAAGATTCACCAGCAAAGTACTTACTGTCAAAGCTTTAATCACATGCAAGTTTGGAACATCTATTTCTGGATGTTTAGGTGCTGTGAAGTCTTTCTTGGCTACAAGAACTCCCTCCTTGAACAAGTACTCGTAGATAGACACTCGGTTCTTCTTTGGCATCAACATCCTGGTAAATACAGAAAAAACTTGATTAAATAGAGGATATTTGTTTGGTTCAGTGTAAGATCGGAATATATTTCACCGAGAGAAATATGAACTTTTGGTGTTCACAAGGTGAAATATATTTCGATCTTACACTAAACTAAACAAATTTTCTTTTTATTACCTGCAAAGAAACGTTTTAAAAAGACATTAAACCTAATACTGAATGAAAAGCGCGCCAAAAAATAAAACAACGTGACGTCATTTACGACGTCACGTCATTAAGTTGGTACCCAGTTCTGTGTACGCTGGTATTTCACTGAAACAACGTAAGGGGCTTAAATTCAAAACAGTGAAATTATCAAAGTGGTAATTTCACTGTTTCAAACAGTGAAATTACCAGTTTTAATTCACTGATATATTTCTATAAACCACCGAAAAGCATGTAATAAAATATTATTTATATAGGCAACACGTGTTGCTGAATTTGTGTGATAAAACTGCCCAGGTTTGAATTCTGAACAGCATGTTTGAAGTTTTAACTCATTCAGCTGTGTACACTGATTTTCCACTTAACCGATATAATGATAACAGATGACACACAGTGGATGCCAGATAAATTGTGGTAACAACAGCTGAGCTCACAATTTTTTGCTTACCTAAGCATCAAACCTTTATCAATAATAGAAACATTCATGACTATGTTTTAAAAATTTCTAAACTATAGTCGACACACTTCTTTATCGTCAATTGTATTTGAACCAGCTAATCATGCCTCATTTATAAAACACAATTTTATAGCTATTCAAATTTTCTTTGCCATCTCTTTGCGACCACATTGTCAATATAAATACAAAATGGCTATTAATGGATGTGCATACTTTTCATCACAATTTAACTGTGATTTTTTTTCAATGGACTATGGATGCATCAAGTCTCGTACTAATTTTCATGAATTTTTTTACTTGCGATGATATTAAATAAATACAGTTATGAACTTATTTATGCCAAGTCAAAGTATTAAAAAATCATGATGATGACAATATTCTGACGATCTATCTTCCACTTCACCTGTACAATGTTGTTATGATAAATAGATGACAGATGACAAACAGAGGAATGGATGGATGCCAGATAAATTGTGGTAACAATAGTCCTAATTATAAGACCTATACATAACCTATTTCATATTTATCATTCATTAATCTGATATTTTACATTTTTCATTTTCCATATTACGTTAGGTCTTAACAGATCTTTGCAAAATTGTGTAGCAAAAAAATTGACATTAGACATTGATTTAGATCTAATGCATTTAAACAATTAAAACAGCGTGTATTTACATTAATTTTGACCTATTTATGAACAAAACTAAAAAATAAATACCTTTTAACAAAATAATTGAACTGTCACATGCGAAAAGTCATGATTAAATCCTCTAATTTAATAAAATACCTTGTACAGCCAATATACAAATGGCCGCCATACAGTGCGCATATCTAATTGGCTAATTCAAATGCAAGCGATTAAATGAGTCCAGAAGTTTCTAACGGAATATTTTTTCAACGAAATAATTGCCCGTGCACCGTCAGTGTGTTCGAATATATTTTTCTGTTCAAAAAATTGGAATCAATCTGTAAAACGCTTTACTTAACCAGTAGGGCCCATGAGCGAAATAGATTGATATCTATATTTTATTTTTAATTGATAAGTACATTGTTTGAAAGTTTTTGTTAATGATAGACCATGCAATTGAAAGAACAGAAGATAGGCTTTTGAATAAAGCTTGAAAGGCAAGTCAACAAACATTTTTTTATTTTTCAAAATGCTACGGGTTTATGAGCAATAACTATTAGACGTCAGGCTTGACCAACATAAAACTATAACAAGCCTGTAACGTCTAATCTATTGGACTATGGTAACAATAGCTCGCAACTTTGTGCTCGGGTAGGCTTAACCTTTATCAACCATAGAAACATTCATAATTTTTTTTTTTAATGTTTTTTTTTTAACCAAGTTGACACCCCCCTTTTAATTTAAATTTTAAATTTGAATGAGCAAACATGCCCTCAATATAAAAGAAAAATTTTTTTACCCAATTAAAATTTTTCCCTTTGCCATCTTTTTGCGACCCCCCATTGTCAAAAAATTGGGATAAAAATGGCTTTTAATGGAGGGGCCCAATATTTTTATATCACAACTTTATTTATGTGATTTTTTTTTACCTAGAGTCTTGAATTTTTTAAATTGCAATGATAAAGTAAATAAATATAGTTCTCTATGCTAGGGCCATTTCAAGAAAAGAAGGTTTAACACATGAATTTTCCTGTGGACAGATTCTAAAACTAAGTAAAAGGGTTCCTTATTTTTATATATTCAGCCTTTACTTTTTTATCATTAGAAATTTATTGTACGGTCGCACCATTTCCAGGTACGTAAAATGTTCCTGAACACAGTTAGAACCGATTTATTCTACCACTATTTCGCAACTTCCATTGAAATGTTTCAAAGAAAGGTGTTAGCATAGTGGGTATGACTGTACATAGGTAAGGACAAGAGTCGATAGCTCTCTGTATTTCCATTGATTATCTAACAATTAATCTCATTTTTTTCTTGCAATAAAGCATCAAACTACGTGACACTGAATCTAGATGACTTTTGCTCAATTCCGTGAATTAATTAATCGTTGCGTATTGATGATAATTTCAGATATTATAAGGAATAAATATCATACTTGCTGATGTTTTTCACCTAAACCGGAAAAGGAAGTTGAATTTGTATCATTCGGAAACCTTCGGTATTTTCTTATCAAGGGAAGTAACCGCCACAAGTTTGTCACCCAGTCTTTACACAGTAAGCTCCCTTCAACTATTATGTACTTATTCGTATTTATTATGTATTATTTAGATTTTTAGTTTAAACATATTTTATTGCATTAAATACATGTTTACAAACATATCATACAAATAATGAGTATATATCAAAATGCAAATGGGTTGGGCAACAAGTTCTTACAACATTAGATTAAGCCCTTCCCATGTATTATTTAGAGAAACTAATATGAAAAAGGCAAAGCCTCAAAGCGAGCTCGATGCACTTTTTACGTGAAATAGTATGAAATAATCGCTCAATTTTATTTCAAATGCAGTAACGAGTGCGTGTGACGTCACACGTACTGTGTTAAATATGGCTCCGCCCCTGTCGTGAAATGAATAACGAGTTTTGAAAACGTTGATTTGATTTAAACATATTTTATTGCCAAAAATAAGACATATACATACATGAGACAGTTACAATACAATGACATGACATATTTGGCAAAAGGGTTGACCCACAAGTTCTCTCAACATTAGCAACGGGTCTTCCCTGATGCAATAAATTACAATAACTTATTTTACAAGAATGACTGTCAGTTAGATAGAAGTAACAAAACTCACACATATATAGTACTTGGCTTTAAAAATGATTTTTAGGTAAGAAAGAACAATAAAAAAAAATGATTGGGTGTACATGTTCTCTAGCTGAATGGTATTTAACGATGTTAACTGATTTATATATATTTGCGTTACAATGACTTAGAAAACATGTACATTTGCCGAATATACCAAAATTCAAAAATAGATTTTGAGAAAATGAAAATATAGAAGAAAAAAAATAGAAGAAGAAAGAAAAGAATCTTGTCTATTGTTTTGCAAAAAATGAAAGAAAATACATTAACATTTATTGAGATTGTGCTGGTTTGTTTTCAAAATCAAAAGCGTTTTGCTTACTTTTTATGAAATGCTGAACAGTCAAAAATATTTTATTATTATTTTCTAAAGACAACTCTTTGTTACCAACTAAAAGTAATTGGACATTTAAAGGGTGAAATTGCCTTAATTCGTTAAAAAGATCGATTCTCTCATTTCGATATTTCGGACAAGTAAACAAAAAATGGTTAACATCTTCTATCTCATAACCGCATGAACAATTTGCATCCTGTGACAAGTGATTGCAGAAATAAGTGGAAATTTAAGTTACTGCATGCATTTCTCAGTCTGCAGTGTAAAACTGAGAGTTTTCTTTCACCTGTAAGGTACCATTTTGGAGTGTCTGTAGATCGAAAGGTTGATTTCTTTAATAGAGATTTAAAATGTGACAGAGTTTCTACAGATCTTGTTTCAGGTTGCAAGTTGTTCCATAGCATTACGGACGAAGGCACAAAAGAAGAAGAAAATATATGAGTCCGTCTGTTTAAAGTTGCAAAGTCATCTGAGTTTCTAAGATTGTATTGGTGTTGTATTATGAACTCTTTCTGGAAAAATATTACTTAAATAATCAGGAACGTCTCCATTATGAATTCTATATATGTTAAAATAAGTTTTTGGTACGTTCTTCTATCAGATAGTGAGAGCCAATTAATTTCTTTATATAAAATTTTGGAGAGAAACTGAACGGGTTAGGCCGCTTACGATTCTGGCTGCCTCATGCTGTATTTTATCTAACGTATCTTTTTCATAATTTGTACACCCATCCCAGACTACAGAAGCATATTCTAAAAGAGGTCTAAGAAATGAAATGTAAATTTGGTTTAGGGTTTCCCCGATAATGTTATACTTTTAATATGATCGTGCCATTTTCCATTAGAACTAAAAGTTAAGCCTAAATGTTTATGACTTTCAACAAATTTTACCGGTATGCCATCAAATTGTAATTTTGGATTGTTAACGTTGGATTGTAAAGTAAAAATAATCGCTTCTGTTTTGTTAGGATTAAAATCTACAAGCCAATTTTTAGACCATAAGTTCATCAAAGCTAAATCATGATTAATAATTCCTTCTAGATCGAATATTGATGATGTTGTACAAGACAAAGAGGTGTCGTCTGCAAATAAAACGAGTTTATACATAGCAAATTTTCTACAATATCATTAACGTAAACAAGGAAGAATAATGGCCCAAGCACCGAGCCTTGGGGACCCCTGCGTTTACAGTCAGTGGTTGTGATAAAGAAGAAACCCTACAAAGACCTTTTGACTTCTATTAATTAGATAAGTTTCAATCCATTTCAACAAGTTACCTTTGATACCATTTTTCTGAAGTTTCAGAAGAAAAACCCTTGTGCCATACTCTGTCAAACGCTTTAGATATGTCACAAAACACTACACAAGTAAATGTTCTATCATCTAAAATTTAACTATTTGGTGATATATATCTAATAATTGAAAAATTCGTTGAATGACCTTGAAGGAAACCCCTGACTGTTTTTGAATAAATCAAATTATTGGCTATTAAATGATTGTATATAATGTTTATAAACAATTCTCTCCATTAATTTCCTATACAACTTAATAAAGAAATCGGACGATAATTTTGAAGTTAAATTTTATCACCTTTCTTAAAAGAGGCATTAATACAATAGCGGATTTCCATATGGAAGGAAATATACACTCTGACTAATGACCTATTTAGTAATAAACATAGGGGTTTTACACACAAGTACTACATATATTTTTTTGAAGCAATTTTATGACTAATAAGATCTTCAACCGACTGCCTTATTTTACATCTAAAATTCCTTTAATAATATCAACTGTTACTTCATTTTCGGTTATAGCTATTTCAGAAATAATAGAATGCGGATAATCATCTAAAGTGGGAAGGGTCTTGTCCGTATCGTTTAAATGAGAAATGGACGCAAAATATTGGTTTAAGCAATTGGCCTTCTCTAAGTCTGAGAAATTATAATGATTCTGTTCCATCGTTATTTGTAGTCTTTAAAGGCGGAATAATTTCTGAACATCTTTTTCTGTTTTTATGAACTGGCGTATTAACTTCCAATATTGTTTAGGATTATTTGCATTTGTTTCTATTAAAAGTGTTCTCTAAATTAGAATAAAACTTTTCTTTGGCATTTTTCTTTAGATTGTTTTACTTTGTTCCTTAAATGTTTATACATTGTCCAATGGTTAGTATTTTTTGTAGAAATTGCTATTGATTTTTGTCTATCCCTTTTTCTTGAATATAATCTAATTTTGGAGTCGTACCATGGTTTATCATACGGCCGAATTGTTACTTCTTTATGTGGAATAAATTTCTCCGTAATTTCGATTAACTTTTCTGTAAATAGAACAGCACCATCGTCAATATTCATATTATTAATAAAATTCCAATTTGTATTTGATATACAGTTATTTAAACTATTAAAATCAGCTTTATTGTATAACCAGACTTTTTTTTTATTGTTTTATGACATCTTAAAGAGATTTTAAAAATATATTTTGTTGCTTTATGGTCGCTAATGTTAGAAGGGAACTGGTAACACGTCACTGTGTAAACATATTAAAACCATCAGATATGAGTATAGGGTCTATAAGTGTAGATATAGAGGATATTTGTTTAGTTCAGTGTTAAGATCGGAATATATTTCACCGAGTGAGCACCAAAAGGTATATTTCACGAGTGGCGCAGCCACGAGTGAAATATGAACTTTTGGTGTTCACAAGGTGAAATATATTTCGATCTTACACTAAACTAAACAAATTTTCTTTTTATTATATGCAAAGAAACGTTTTAAAAAGACATTAAACCTAATACTGAATGAAAAGCGCGCCAAATAATAATACAACGTGACGTCATTTACGACGTCACGTCATTAAGTTGGTACCCAGTTCTGTGCACGCTGGTATTTCACTGAAAACAACGTAAGGGGCTTAAATTCAAAACAGTGAAATTATCAAAGTGGTAATTTCACTGTTTCAAACAGTGAAAATTACCAGTTTTATATCACTGATATATTTCTATAAACCACAGAAAAGCATGTAATAAAATTGAATTTGTTACTCTAGTTGGTGACGAAATAACATTTGTAAGATTGTATAAAAAGCATGATTTGTTTAAGATAGGTATTGTCTATTAGTTGGTTCTCATTAATGTCACCTACAATTGCTATGTTTTTCATATTTTATCTAAAGCATTGTCAATCATTATTCCAAAATCATTCCAGAAAAGCTACGGGTTTGCTGGAGCTCTATTATACACACAAAGCAAAAAGGAAATTGCACGAAACTTAATTTCTAAACATATTGCGTCAACAGAATGCATTTCATACTCTACTTTTCTACATGAAAGTAAATTTTCAGATACATAAATCAAAATTCCCACTAGAATGAGCAGTTACATCTCTACGATAAACACAAGTGTGTGAACTCTCTAGTAATAACTCATGTTCCTATACTGTCTGTAAGGTGTGTTTCAGTAAAACAAAGAATATCGTAGTCTAACAAGTTTTCCTTTATAAAATCAAGTTTGTTTCTAATAGACCTAATGTTAAGATGTAGAATTGATATGCTTGATTCATCAGAAAGTTTGAACTAGAGGACCCGGATTCGTTTCAACGTCTCCTGAATTTATCAATAATATCAATAATAAAAATACAAAATTCTAGATTTAAGACGCATGTTAAAATTTTCCGTAAAAATATACTGAAATATAACTGAGAGTAATAAGTAAAGCAAAAATATTTTCAGTCGAAATATCAGGGAATAATTGAGATAAATATAATTCATTCTTATGAAGCTTTTGAATTCTACAGTTAAAAAGTCCCAATGCTCGCTCTGTATGAAGCTAATCGTTACCCATTAGGTAATAAAACTAAGCATAGGTTTTGAACATGCGACCATGGACTACAAGTAACAGCACAAACATATATAATATAATAGTCTACAATAGACAAGACAAGAAAAAAAGAAGCATCGAACTTAAAAACAGTACAATATGAAAAAATATAACTAAACAAAACAGAAAACAAATACGGAAGAAAAAAAAGAAACATAATATTTAAATGAAAAAATATAGAGCATGTGTTTGGGGAAACAATATAAAT